CTTTGGAGAATAGCTTGACTCCCTCTTCTTTGGGGCAGCCCCTCAAATATTGGAAGATGCTATCCTGTCTCCCCTGGTCCTTCTTTTCCTTAAACTAGACATACCCAGTTCTTGCAACCGTTCTTTGTATATTTTAGCCTCTTCGTTGCTCCTTTCTGCACTTTTTCTAGTGTCTCAACCTCTTTTTATATCATTCTTTTGTACAGTTTAACAAACAGAAGGACTAGGGTGGGGCACGAATAGCCATGTTCCAATATTTGAGGGGCTGCCTCAAAAAAGAGGAAGGGGGTCAACTTATTCCCCGAAGCCCCTGAAGGCAGGAGAAGAAACAACGGATGGGAACTAATCAAAGACAGAAACAACCTGGAATTGAGAAGAAACGTCCTGACAATTAGAACAATGAAACCGTGGAAGAGAAAATTGCCATCAGAAGTTGTGGGTGCTTCATTCCTGGAGGTTTTTAAGAAAAGACTGGACAGCCATTTGACCAGGAGGGTATCGGATCTCCTGCTCGATCGGGGGGTTGGACTAGATGACCTCCCAGATCCCTTCCAGCTCTGTTCTTCTATAATTCTGTAAGGAAGCATGAAGAAATGGCAGGCGGGCTTGGGCAGCGGTGAGCTGAGGATCTCTGGAGTGCGCAGAGGTCTTTCTTTCACCTTGGCTGCCCAGTCGAAGGGGCCCATGTGATGCCCGCCACCCGCTGCCGGCCTCATTAACCTGCCCTTGAGGCCGGCTGCCATTTCACACTTCCCTGCTCAAGTGTGAACGCTAAACGGCCGCCCCGCCGGGGTTAATTCCTGACAGATTGAATGACTTTTCACACTTCCCCGGTCCATTGGCTCCCTAAAGATTGCAGGTGGGGGTTGACCTCAGCTGCCTTTCAAGGGGGGGGCGGGGGTCTTTGCGATGGCCACGTTGGGCAGAAGGGGCAGCCGGGGAGAGGCTGGGGGGGGGGGGGGGGGGGGGCGTAGAGAGGAGATTTCCCCTCTTACCCTGTTCCCCTCTCCTCCTCGTGTAGCTGAATTGAAGATCCGCTTCTCCTACCTGCTTCACAGACCTTGCAAAAGACACCCGAATCGATCCATCGGCATAGAGCTGGAAGGGGCCTCAGAGGTCTTCTAGTCCAACCCCTGGCTCAGGCAGGAGACCGAATCAATCAATCGGCATAGGGCATAAGGGGCCTCAGAGGTCTTCTAGTCCAACCCCTGGCTCAGGCGGGAGACCCTATATCCCATTTTAAGGAGAGAAGCAACCTAGCCCCACGGAGGAATTGCCTGGCAGAACAATGAACCAGGGGAACAGCTTGCCACCAGAAGTTGCGAGGGCTCCAAGACTTTGAGGTTTTTAAGAAGAGACTGGACAGCCACTTGACTGGAGTGGTCTAGGCTAGGATGTCCTGCTTGAGCAGGGGGTTGGACTAGAGGACCACTAAGGTCCCTGCCAACTCTGTTATTCTTTCTTTCTTTCCTTCCTTCTTTCGTCTCTCTCTTTCTTTCCCTCTCCCTCAATTCCTTCCTTCCTTCCGCCTTTCCTTCCTCCCTCCCTCTTCCATCCTTCCTTTCCTTTCCTCCCTTCCCTCTATTTTCTTTTCCTTTCCTTTCCTTCCTCCCTCCCTCTTCCATCCTTCCTTTCCTCCCTCCCTTCTTTTTCTTTTCCTTTCCTTTCCTTCCTCCCTCCCTCTTCCATTCTTCCTTTCCTCCCTTCCCTCTTTTTTCTTTT